GGGTCCCCCTAGAGTCCCTGTGGGGACCCAATTAGAGGTGGAGTGGGCAGAAGAAGAGAGAGGGAAGGTGGGAAGGAAGGAGGAAGAGAGGAGACAGGAAAGGCAAATGAAAAGGAGAAAAGAAGAAAAGGTAGAAAGGAGAGGGGGAAAGCAGAAGAAAAAATGACAAGAAAGGAGAAAAAAGAGGCATAAAGAAAAAAGAGAAAAAAAGACGAAGAAAGGAAGACAAAATGGGACTCAGGAAAATGAAAGTGAGAGGAGGAGGGCGAAAGACAGGAGACCATCCTGACACAGTGATGCCAGAAATTCAATTGCACTTAAAAATATATATAATTTTCCCATTTTCACATCTTTCCTGGCAAACTCAAAGAAGGTCACATTGAATTTCCATGGAAATGACCCGCCCTGAGTTGGAGCGACATGAGTCAGGAGGTGTGATGGCAGCGATGCTGCATGTCTACTGGGCTGAGCCGGGGGTGGGGGTGGGGGTGGGATGGCCCAGAGGAGCGTGCAGGTTTGCTTTGTATTCTCAGGTTGCCAGAGTGAGGGCACAGAAGCCAATCTTTAGCTAGTGAATTGGAACTTTAATGTTTACCAAGCAGATCCAGCTCCCACTCTCCCCACTCTCTCCCCCTGCCGGCTCCCTCTCCTCTGCCAGCTCCCTCTTGGCTCTGCTTCCAGGCCTCCTGCTAACTGGACCCAGCTCTTCCCCCAGCAGCCCTGGTGAGGAGCCCTTTGCTGCCAGAGGAGCAGAGTGCCGGCCACTGATGGCCATGTCCCCTGCTTTTCTCTCATCAGAGTTTCTCCCGTGAGGCCCTACACTCCTAACTTTGGAAACAGATGAGCTCTTCCTGGAAGAAATTCCCTGCAAAGTCCCAGAGGCAGGGGGAGCTGGGACTAAGCAGTAGGGACCTATTTTAAGGAACAGAATTCTTCCAAAAGGCTCCCTGTGCATGCTCAGCCCCAGGGAGCTCTCAGCGGACATCTGCCCAGCTCACAGCTTCTGACCTGTCATGTGTTCCTTGTGTCTAGGCTGGTTCTCAGAACAGTGCTCCCCCCCTGACATACCCATCGTCCTCCCAGCTCTATGCCTACCTTGCCAACATCCGAAACAAAACCTTTGGGGAACTGCTGCACCCGATAGTCATCTGTGTCCTCTCTAAAGCAACTGTGGCCCTAGAAAAGAGAAGTGGGTATCCTGGGCTTTCCTAGTGGATCTAGGATTGAGTCTGGCTTGGCAACTTACTAATTGTGTGACCTTGGGCATATTGTTGAACCTCTCTATCCCTGGGTGTCCTCATGTACAGGGATAATCATGATAAAATGAGATAATGGAGATAACATGCTTGCATCATGCCTGTCAGATAGTAAGTGCTTAATAAATATGTATTATTATTATTGAGCAATTGTCCAAACTACCTATATTATAGCAACGTGCTATCTGGTATCACTGATGACATTTCTCTCTCTCTCTCTCTCTCTCTCTCTCTCTCTCTCTCTCTCTCTCTCTCTCTCTCTCTCTGGGCACGCTTACGTGTGTAGCTTCTGTCTGCAACTTGGATATCTCTAAGAGGGGTGGGGATACATTTTTCTAATCTCTGTGTCTGCCAGGTCTCCAAGCACAGCGCTCAGCACACACTGAGAAAATACTTGTTGATGGATTGAAAAACTGCCCCATGTTGACTGTGCCCCATAAATAGTGGAACAAACATTGGGAATAGAAGAGGGTGGGCTGGAGAGAGGCAGGGGGCCAGGAAAGTGAGATGGAGAGTGTGAGGGAGAGAGAAAGACGGAGAGTGGAACCAGCCTAGATGCTGACAGAAAACACTGAGCAAAAGGAGCCTGATGAGGGCCTGTGGCTTAGTAATTTCATTGTCCTGAAGTCATGGCAACTCAGAAAGTGAGGATCCATTTGTGACACTGGTCCAGGGATGGCTCCATCAGCCATCCTTTGGTTAGGCTGGTTCTGAATAATGACGTCAGGTATGCTGACTTCTGAATTGTAACAACAGGCACTGTGGTCTGGTTTCTGAGCTCCCACTGATCCCAAGAGAGACGTCAGCTCCTCTCCGTCCCCAAATAAGAACACATGTGAGGGGTGCCTCTAGTTCTGTCTTTGTTATTGTTTTGGTTGTGGTGGTGTGTCTGTGCATGACAACAATGGGGTTGTTTTCTCCGCTGCCAGCAGGATGCTAGCTCTGTAACTTGCTGGGAAAGAAACAGAATGGGCTGCCTGCACTATCTTCTCCCCTCCTTGTCTTCTCAGTGAGACAGTGGAGGGCTGGTTTTAATGGATTGACTTTAATGGATTTTGAAGTCTGGAAAAGTGCCTAAATTGCTGAGGTTACCAGTTTTCCAGGTTCTTTTTTTTTTTCCATTTCTTTCTCTTCAGTCAGACATAGAGTGAGCTCACTGGGGCACCTACTGTGGTCACCACAGACCAGAAGAGGTCTCTTTCTGCCCCTGCCCTAGCTGACAGGGACACCCATTATTTCTTTGGGTGAGGGTATTTTGCTTGGTCCTATCCCTGCATTTGCTAGTGGCACACATTCTCTGATTTCAAAGGAGAGAACCAACCAACAATAATAACACCAGCTCTGCTTTCTGGAATCCAAATGGCTCCACCTTAAAGCATAATTTTTTTTGGTCATTTTATTTTCATTTGCCTCCAAGTGAGTTTGTACAGGGACTATGTGCCCTGGGAAGTTCGAGCTGCAATCCTGTCTTTCCTCCCGGCCTCTCCCCCTGTGGGCTGTGCCAGCACTGAGAATTGTGATGATGTCTTTGAGGCTACGAGTCTCCCTGTGAGGCCTTTGAAGAAAGGACAGCATTCCAGGCACCTCAAGGGGACTCTAGGCTCTGTTTTAGCTCTGCTGTTGGACTCTCTCCTCAGCCCTCCCACCTCCCCAAATACATTCACATTTTCTTTCTGCCCTTTCTTCAAAACTTGCCCAATTCGTCTTTGTGATTTCAGAAAAATGCCACTGGATCTCCCAGTATGAAGGATTAGCACAGATTATGGGGAACAGTGTTAATTATCGGTGGAAGGGGGGCCGGCGCGTCGCTCCAATGTGCTCCTGATTTCCCCTGGGCCTTTCTGCCTGGTAATAAGCCTTCTTTAATCTGGCAGGCCCCTTAGTGAAATCAGCACCACGGACAGTGGTATTGATTGCTTCTGAGAAACCATCACAGCTGCTCAACCAAATTACCTTTGATATGTGACCTTTAATGTAATTACTGCAACATCAAAGTATTTCTATAAATTATTAAAGAACTAATACACTCCATCATTTAGCTATTCTCTTATATGTAAAATAAACAACTACAAGTTAATGCTAGATCCAGAACAATCCACATTTGCTACTGAAATTCCCCGACCTGGGCCTCTCCCTCTTCAAAAATCCTAAACCTCCCCCTCCCACTTCCTCTTCCTGTTTCCCCATCTACCAGGCTTTTAGCCATCACGAAACTCCCCAGCAATCTCTCTCAAGCTGATGTGGTATTTTCTATTCCATTTGGGTGGCTCTAAAATATGTCACAATCCCCCCTCCCCCAAACACAAAGTACCATAAACAGTTTATTAATCAGCACAAACCTTTCTCAGAAGCCTTTGATTATCTTACCCCGTGGCCGTGTGCCTCACACATAACATGGGGCGATGTGGCGCTTATTTCTGCCATCTTACAGAGGGCACCCAGAAAGTAATTACTATAATATATGTGCATGTAGCCGCGCCACTAAAAACCAACCGGGGAACGGCCACCGTGCCAGAGCTGGGCTCCACATAAAAACCCGTGTGGGGCACGATTTCCATACATTTGCATCCGGGGGTATGTTATTAAGATGATTCAGTCCCGAGCTTTGCAATCACAAGTACAAAAATACAATCCAAAGGCTGTCTTAACGGAAGGAAGGCCCTCCCCACCCCTAACTGGGTAAAGCAGGAGCTCTGATACAAAGGAAAGGCTGCCCCCACAGGGGTTGCTTTTCTCTCCGTCTCCCTGGTTAACCTTTCCTGCTGTGGGGCAGGAATGGCAACGTGTGTTTACATACTGCTGGCTGGGTAGGATTGTAAACATGCATATGTAAACATTAGTGAGCACACGTATAGAACACACGTGCTTCCCCGCAGTGCCCATTGTATAATACAGCTTGAACCCGGTATATTTGATCAAATCATGCCCACAAACACTCGCATCTTTCCATGTATCTTTACATACTCTGTGAGCTGTATATCTCAGCTCCCGAATCCCCCTCCCCCCAGTCTCTCTGAACCCACAGGAGACACCACGCAGACCCCTGACCTGAGAAACGCTTATTTTATGGTGATGAACTAGCCTCGATAATAGCCACGGCTGATATCACACCCAGTTAGGGGGGACATAAATAATTCTCTCCCCCCGCCCCACCCCCGCACAGGAGGAATAAACCAGGGCTGAGGCGCGATAGTTTATCAAAGCCCAGGGCTGGCTCCTTCAGTAAACACGGTGATCTCACTCCGGCGCCAAGCCTGGATGGGGGGGGGGGGGCGCCCCTTTCCCTCTCACCCCGAACCCCACCCTGAGTACAGCCCGCATCCGACGTAGATTGGCTGGTGCTCAGGCGGCACTGTCACCAGACCCCGTGGGACCGGCTGGAGGCCACTCCGGGCTCGGGGGGCCAGACGCCGGCGGGCGTGCCTGCCTCGGGCTGCTGGCACGGGAGGGGGGTGGATGGGGGGAGACCGGCTCAGCAGGGGAGGAGCCCCGCCCGAGATTCGTGGTGGCGGTAAAGGGCGCCCCTTCCCGGGATTCCGAGGGGCCTGGACGACGGGGTGCGGGGGCCACCTGGCCAGGTCGCCTCGCTGCACTAGGGGGCGAGGGGCGGCGCGAGCTCGGGATGGAGCGGAGGCGCCCACCGGGACCGCGATCCCCCCGCCGCCGGCGCCGCCGCGCAGCCCGGCCTCCCGAAGTCGCCCCCTGTCGGCGCGCCCGTCGCTCGCGCTCGCGGACGCCACTTACCCCGGGCAGGGTCTTCTGCTCGTGCAGCGCGCTCTGGGCCTTCAGCGCTGACTCACGCTCGCAGTAGGTGAGGAAGGCGCAGCCTGCGAGGGAAGCAAGCGGCGAGAGGGTCAGTGGGCGCCCGGGCCGCCGCCGCCGCCGCGCCCGCCCGCCCGCCCGCCGCCCTCCGTCTCAGCCCCTCCCTGCGCTGGGTCCTTCTCCCCACCTCGCTCGCTTTCTCTCCTGTGCGCTCCACTCGAGCCTTCCTGCCTCTCCGTGTGCTGCCTGCCTGCCTCTCGTCCCTCGCGTGGTTACTGTTCTGTTTCCCTCCCTCGGCAAAATCTCCCCACCCTGCCTCTTCCCCCTCCACGCCCCCTCTCCCCGTAGTCTCTTCCTGTCCCCATTCCCTGGTACCTCGGGGGCCTCTGCCCTCTCCCTTCAGACCTCTCTGCCTCCCTCCCTTCATCCGTTCCTCTGGGCGCTGTTCTGTCTGTTTCAGCTCCAGCCCCAGTACCTCCCAAGGGCAGCTTTCACCCCTCGCCCCAGCACCCCAGGCCACACTGGACCATGAAGTCCTGTGGTGGCCTCCCGCAGGAGTGCTGCTGGCTGCTTCATCGAGGATGATGGGGGGGACCCCCTTGGCCTTCCAAATACAGGCTCCACCAGCAAGGAGGACCCAGGCCAGGCTGTCCTAATAAAGTGAACGGGGCTGCCCACGTGCCCCCTGCCCTAGCACACTGTGCAGTGACAGCTTCACACCCGTCCCAGTCTTGGGCGTATTCAGCCCACCCATGGGCAAGGCTGGGCCTGAGGCTGCCCCTGGCTCTGCCTCTAATTCCCTGGGCGACCCCTGCAAATCACAGCTCCCAGCCTGCCTTGTTCTCCTCTGTGAACAGAGAGGTTGGCCCATTGGTCTCCAAGGTTCAGCCTCGTTTTCCCCTTGAGGGAGCCTGACAGTGCCTCACCAGGAAATCCGGATTTTAAGAGCCCTGTTCCTGACTCAAGGGGTGACTTTTTAATGCAGGCCTTTCAGGCACAGTGACAAGGCAAAGAGAATGCTTGCTGATGGGAGAGTCTTTCTGAAAGTTCCCTCAAACTGCCCAGTGCCTGGGGCCTCTTTCTCTGCCCCCAGACCAGGCCGAGTGTGACTTGGGAGGCCTGCCAGGCTCAGAACCACAGGGAAAGTAAAAAAGCCAATTTTGGCCAACAGCAGGCTTGACCTGGGGAAAAGTGGCCTGACACTTTCCAACGCCACACATGGCCCCAGAGAAGGCACCCTGTAGGCTGGCCACTTTCCTTGTTTCACTGTTTTCTTTTCCTCCCTTGTTTCACTCTCTCATTATCTCCCCCCGCCCCCCCCCCTTTTTCCTTTGCTCTCACAGACACCTCGCTTGGTATGCCTCTCCCCTCATTTAGACCTCTCCCAATCCCATCCATCTTTCAAGAATCTGATCAAGGCCCACTTCCTCCAGGCAGCCCTCCTTGATTGGTTTAGTCCATCTCAAGCCAACTTCCTTCCTTAACTGTCCACAGCTGACCATTTGGTCATTCTTATGGCCATTTATCATCAACTGTCTCCTGAGTCCCATTGTGAGTCAGATTCTGTGCCAGGCCTGGTGGCCCCCTCTTTTCATGAGGCCTGTAGGCTGGTGGTGCCAATCTGGTGCCAATGCCAGCCCTTGTCATCAGGCTTGCTCTGGCATCTTATTTTCCGAAATGCAGAGTGCTCCCAATGTCCTCTCCAGTCCCTGAACCCTCCACCAACCAGTGAAACCCCTTTCCTCCTCTTCCAATGTAGAAACTAGTCCTGGCTCCCTTCCTTTCCTGGCTTCAGAGAGGATTTTGGAAGGGAATATATGTGTGAGGGGGCAGAGAAATGGAAGGAAGGAAGTAGGGCAAGAAAGCTGGAAGACAGGACTCTCGGAGTCCCCATGGGCTCTCTGCCCTTCCTCCAACTCCTGCCCCAGGCTGGGAGGAGCTCAGTGCCAAGGAGCCCCTCCCACTCTGCCTCATCCCTCCCCATCCAGACCCCAGGCCACCCTCCCCCTCAGCCTCCCTGTTTCTCTCTCCTGGTCATGGCAGACGATTATTGATGGAGACACAAAGGGGACTGAAATGAATAGCGGTCAGAGGCCCCCGTGACGTCGTCCCTCGTGCTGCTGCCTGCCTCTCTGGAGTCTCTTTTCTCCTGTCCCTCTCTGGCCTTGTCCTCCGCCTGCACCTGCCTGCAAGGAGGAGGCCGCCACTGTCTAGCTGTGTGCAGGCAAGCCAACTCAGGACAAGGTCAGGGGCAGGTCTGGAGAGGGAGGAGGAGGGAGGAGAAGGAGGAAGAGAAAGAAGAGAAGGAGGGAGGAGGAGGGGGAGAAAGTGACCATATTGTTTCCATGGCCTAGGATAACAAGGAAGGAATTCTAGATAAAAAGAAAATAATCTGTTGCTTTTGTCTTGTCTAGTTTCCAGGAATTTCTGCCCCAGTTTTTTTTGGACAGAACTCACAGCTGCATTTTGTACCAGAATCTTTAAGGGACCCCCAGACCCCGGGCAACCTCCCCTGACATTTCTACTCCCTGACCTCACCTCCTTCCATTTTCCCATTTGCTCACCTCCTGGCCTCTTTCCTATTTCTCAGCCCTGCCAGGCACACTCCGTCCCGGGACCTTTGCACTGGTTGTGCCCTCTCCCAGAATGACCCCCACCCCACCATCTGCATGCCTTGCTCCTTCAGTCCCCTCAGGCTTCTGCTCCCCAGAGAGGCCTCTCCTGGCCGCCTCATTGAACATGGTAACCTGCCCCCACACATGCTCACTCTCTGATCCCTCGTCGTGGTTACTCTTCTCTTTAGTGCCCCATTAGTGACATAGTAATAGTGTATATCTGCTCCTTGATTAGCAGTCTCCCCACGCTCCATGGGGTTCTATTCCTGTTTCGTTCTCAGTGCCCAGAACAGGGGCAGGAACTCCGTGTATATTTGTCGAGAGCATTGAATCCCGAACACCTCGGCTACTTTGGAGGGGACCAATCACAGGGAATGGGAGAGGGGGACACAGAAGTGGTGCTCTGAGGCTGCTGGGAGCTGACCAAGGCTCTGAGGACACGGAGGCACACTGGACCTCCCTCGTGGCAGGGGACAGAGGTCGCCTGTGAGAGTTGACAGGTGGCCCCAGCCAGGAGGGCTCCTTTCCCCAAGGCTTCCTCAGCCCATTCTCCCAGTGCCTGCAGTGCAGGTCCTGCCACTCCCTGATCCCTCCTCAAGGTGGTGGTCCCCTGGTCAGGCGGATGCGCAGTTCCAGAAGGAAGCTGTGCCAGGTGGACTCTCACCAACCGGGCCACTCACTGATTCCTCTCTTTGAACCCCAGTTTCCTGGCCTATAAATGGGGATAGTCATCCCCCTCATAGCTTGTGGGCAGACGTACTAGCCCATGAATATTAACAACCTCTGCGGATCTCTGTAATTACAGAGTGAGGTGTAAACACATATTTACTCTCGTGAAGAGGGAGGTCCGAGGCAGCGTCCCTTCTGCTCGAGAGATCAGCCTAACACAGAGGCCGCCGGGGCAACCCACCCTGGCCTTCTCTGTCCATCTCTGCAGCCAGTCAGATGTTGCTTCTGACAGTCTACCCGGGAGATGAGTTGTCTCACTAGGGCTCTTTTAAAAGGCAGATTTGGAATGACTATCATCAGCAAATGACAAGTGCTGGAGAGGATGTGGAGAAAAAGGAACCCTCATGCATTGCTGGTGGGAATGCAGACTGACTGGTGCAGCCATTGTGGAAGACAGTATGGACTTTCCTCAAAAAATTAAAAATGGAACTCCCATTTGACCCAGTGATACCACTTCTAGGAATATATCCCAAGAAATCAGAAACACCAATCAGAAAGGATATATGCACCCCTATGTTCATAGCAGCACAATTTACAATAGCTAAGATTTGGAAACAGCCTAAGTGCCCATCAGCAGATGAGTGGATTAAAAAACGGTGGTACATCTACACAAAGGAATACTATGCTGCTGTAAAAAAGAAGGAACTATTACCATTTGCAACAGCATGGATGGAACTGGAGAGCATTATGCTAAGCGAAATAAGCCAGTCAGAGAAAGATAAATATCACATGATCTCACTCATTTGTGAAATATAATGAACAACATAAACTGATGAACAAAAATAGATACAGAGACAGAGAGAAGCATTGAACAGACCGTCAAACCTCAGAGGTTAGGCGGGCGGGGGTAGAGTGGGGAGGTAAGAGATCAACCAAAGGACTTGTATGCATGCATATAAGCATAACCGATGAACTCAGAGAGTAGGGGGGTAAGGGTATGTGCTGGGGGGTGGGAGTGGTCAGGGAGAGGTCAATGGGGGAAAAAGGAGACATATATAATACTTTAATCAATAAAGAATAAATTAAAAAATAAATAAAAAGGCAGATTCGGATAAGCAGTGACTAACCAGCGACTCGAGGTGCCACGTCTGCTCCCTTGCTGAAGACAGAGCCTGGGGGATGCAGCTTGGTGGGGAGGGGTGGCTTCATGAGGAGAGTTTGCCATCACTGGGTGTTTCAGAACATGGCAGGCCTGGGTGAAGGCCGAGGTGGAGGCTCAGGGTGGCCAGGAGAGAGAGGGTGCCAGGTAGTACACACAGAACCCTACACAGAAAAACTGGTGTTTTTCTTTGTTTGTTAGTTATTATTTTTGTGTTAATCCTTACCCAAGGATATTCTCCCGTTGATTTTTAGAGAGAATGGAAGGGAGAGAGACAGAGAGAGCAACATCAATGTGAGAGAGACACGTCGATTGGTTACCTCCTCCATGCACCCTGACCTGGGGCCGGGGATGGAGCCTGCAAGTGAGGTACATGCTCTTAACCAACATCAAACCTGGGACCCTTCTGTCTGAGGGCTGATGCTCTATCCACTGAGCAAATCCAGCTAGGAACAGAAAAACTAGTTTTGACTTCCCCTCACAGCAGCTGAGGAGGGGCTTGGAGCTGTGAGGGTGGGATAGGGGCCACAGGTCAGCAATCATGACATCTGTCAGGCTCACTCCCCTGTGGATGCACTGAGGTGTCCCCAGAGACACACCCGGTGAGGCCCCTTGGGAACTC